CATATTGGAGGTAGGTGGAGAAGAGTGATAGATTCCACTGGGATTGTTGGGATAGATCATGAAGAGCCTCAATTCAGTGTTAGTGATTCTGGATGTTTTTCTGTAGAAAATAAGGAGCTATTGGAAATATTTGAGCAGAGGCAAGATCTGTTTTGATCTTTGTGTTAAGATGATAACTCAGGACGTCCTTGTCTTATCCTTCCTGCTAGATTAAAAATTCCTCAAGGGCAGAGGCTATCCTGATCATCCTCATCTCTATTGCAATATCTAGATGCTCAGAGTTAGCTAAGATGAATTGAATTTACTTGGCAATTATGTCAATCAACAGAGGCCAGCTCAAACCTGAAAAAGAAAATGATATCACAAAGATATTGGGGAAAGGAACCTAAAGGAGGCTTCTCTCTTTGATTCTAAGTAGGATCTTACAAGATAACTATATTTTCTAAAGTTGAAAAATTACAGAATAACAATCCAGTTATTTCGTCATTATTAATTGTTTCTAATGATTTAGTGAAAATGAAAAAACACTCATCTTAAAGAAATATTTGCACAGTATTGTGTTTTTGGAAGAAGAATTTGTTTTTGAATAACATTTTTGTCCAACCAAAATAGTAATGTAAGAAAGCCAAGATTTGATCAACTGGCTAGTACAGTGAAGCTTTCAAAGAAAGCTTAGCTATGAAACCTTTAAATTCCTCTCAGAAAAATGTCTCTAATTACATACAGAGAGGTGATCAGTGCATTGGGAATAGCAATTTATTAACCTGAAAAGGACCACTTTTAAAAATAGATTCAAGCAGAGGTGACAGATATCTGTAGGATATTTTATTGCAGAATCTTGTTGCTCACTGAGGTGAAGAAGACACTAAGAGGATTACAATGGAGGTGGGGACGGAGGGAGGCAGAAGCCAATATTCTTGATGCGTACGTCTTAAAATTGGCTTGAGATAGAGATATCAGTGCCTAGCCCCTGACTGTTCTTTTAAATCTCTTATTGACAAGTAAAACCTTTCCTACAGAGAAAAATTTGGAACACATAATCCCCATTGGTAATGTGGGAGACAGCTATAACTCTGGCAATTATAACCTGTTGCTGTTTTATCCATTCCAAAAAAAAGATTTGGAGTTTACTACAAATTGACATTTTGGTGAATACATCTTTCAACAACTCTTTGTTGCTTAAATCGGCAACCTTTTTTATTTGAATCGAGTTTAAGGGCAATAAAATTGTGTTTCCATGAAATGGAGGAATTTAGACTTCATGATAGTTAACATAAAAGAAAAATATTTTTCATGAGAAAAATAACTTGAGGAATACCTAGTTATGGGAAAATATAGCAGAAAAATGCCGTAGTGTTTGGCAGCTCATATGTTCTGCTGAAACTAAAAGGAAACTTATTTTGATTCCAGCTGTTTGGTATGTGGCTTTGCAGATACCAGCAGGAATTAGTGACAACTTTAGGTATGAAAACAGCAAGAAAGCACCGAGTTATGATTTTAGAATTGTGGCATACCTGTTACAAGTCACTTGTAAATTCAGCAGTTATGGATGCTAGCAGAATGCATTTTTCTGAAAGCTGAAAAGGAGGCTGGGAAAAGAAAAACAGTCTTTGCTATTTCTTTGGAGAGCAAGTCATTGAGAAATAGTATTTTCTAGAAATAATTTGTATACTGAAACAAATATAAAATTTTAATTTTGAACTAACTGACATTAGAACAGGAGACAGAAATTTTAAATGAAATCCCAACTCCCGTCCTTATATTTTAGAAGAATAAATGGAAGCTATTTAAGGACTGAATACCCAGATCTTACATATTTTGCCTTGTTTGTTTGCATAAGGAGGCCCTGGTGGTGCAGTGGTTAAGCATTTGGCTGCTAACCAAAAGGTCAGCGGTTGGAATCCACCAGTCGCTCCTTGGAAACCGTATGGGGCAGTTCTACTCTGTCTTATAAGGTCGTTATGAGTTGGAATTGACTCGATAGCCACATGTTCGTTTGTTTTTTGGTTGCACTGATATTTTCTACCTTCACACTTTTCTAGTTCTTAGTTTTAGAGATGAGTGGATTGATCAGAAACAGATTTAGGGAAAGGGAAACATAAGAAGGAAATTTCAGGGAAACGAGGAAAGGGATTTTTATAACATCTTTTATTGTTGGGACTTTAATTTGTGTGTAAAATTATTTAGCTTGCCCCTGAATTCATTATCACAAGTGAAAAATCTTATAAAATTTCTATGTAGTAAACAATTTGTTCAGAATAAAGATCATAATCTATGAGAGCCTCCTTTCAAGAACTATTTTATTACCTTGTATTCTGTTTCTCAGCAGCTCTGTGAAAAAAAACCTTAAATGGTTCTCTTATTTATTTTGAGTTTACATAAGAATGTTGAAGGCAGGCCACTCCACCTTCACTAATTATTTGGAAAATAAAAAATAAACAAGAGATTTTAACTGGCCCATCATGTATATACATTTTTTTTTTTTTAAAATCACTGGCTGTTTCTGCATCAGCACAGTTCATACAGACAAGCAAAGTTATAATGGTTATTTAAAGGGAGATATGCATATAGGTATTCAAAAGAATTTTAGAGAATTTCTCTTTTTTGATTCTCAATAGAACTTAAAAAGACTTTCTGATAATATATATTATAGTATGTATTTAGATGCCAATCTCAATTTACACACACAGGAAATCTCAATTTGCACACACAGGAAATATTATATTGAAGGTTGCTATTGCATATTTTTCTGAATTCCAGTAACACAGTTTTCATCTCCCCCATCCTCATCCAAGCTAAACTATCAGATTAAAGGAAAAAGGAAAAAGACGATGAAGTTATAGAAGAGAAATTTAATGGCCATTGTCACTTTTAAGCATATCAGAGCCTCAGACTTGGCAGGCTTTTTTTTTTTTTTAATAACACAAAAAGAAGCTGAGTTAGTGGGCCTGTGTCTGCTCTACGTGGAATCACTTGGGAACTGTCCAGCAAAATATCTCTCGAAGAACAGCATGGTGTTAATACTGGGTGCCAACCCAAGACAGACACAAAGGACCCCTTCACTCTTCACCAATAAGCCAACTGTTAAAAGATTAAAACATGTTGTGGAGATAACAAGAATTTAGGGGCTGGCAGCAGGTGTTGTACAAAGAAGGATTTGGCAGTACAGTTCTTCTGTCTGACTAATTCCAGTCAAAACAATCTTCTGCCCAGTTGCAGAGGGGAGTTTGACTGTGATGGCAACTTGGAGTTAGGAGGTTGAGTAAGAGTGCTACTTTAAATGCTGAGTCCTGTGGAGGATGGATTAGTAGAATATAGTTTATCTTTGTTCAGAAACAGTGGGGGACTCCCCTCCAGAATGCAGCCACTGCTGGCTAACTGTGGAATACACAATCTAACAGCTGTATGTCAAATCTGCTTATGTTGTAGGGTTGCTGTATTTTAAAATTTTTATCCTCACATATAGGAGTCATATGACATTTTCTTCTCTTCAGAAATGACTATCATCCATTATAGATTAATTGCCAGTTGTCTTAGTTGTGTCCTTATGTTATTGCCTTACTACATTTGTAAAGTGTTACCTTTTAAATCATCATTTAATTTCTGTATTTTCAAAAATCGATTCTGACTCATAGTGAGTTTATAAGACAGAGTAGAACTGACCCATAGGGTTTCCAAGGAGCAGCTGGTGGATTCGCACTGCTGATCTTTTGATTAGCAGCTGAACTTTTAACCACTACGCCACCAAGGCTCCCTTATCAATTAATTGCCAGTTATATTAGTTGTATCCTTATGTTATTGCCTTACTACATTTGTAAAATATTGCCTTTTAAATCACCATTTAATTTCTATATTTTCAAAAATCATTTGCTACTCAGTAAATATCTAGTATTAGCGCATATATAAAGTGGAACTTTTTTTAGTACTAGAAAATAATTTAAATTATTATTGAAGCAGTATCGTTTATTGGACTTGAAGCATAAATTGGCATTTTCCCATATTCCTATACAAATAAATGTTGATACTTAAAAACTTAGCATGATTACCCAGGGAAAATGATTATAGCAGTTACAAGATAAGGTTTATTAAAAAAGAAGTAGCAGAATTCCTACAGGTGATGTGAGAGCCCGATAATTTTACAATCAGGTCTAAGTGAGAAAAGCTGGAAGGTGCAAGACACCTTTGATTTATATAATCTGATAATGAACCCGAGTTGAACAGATGCAATGTCTCCCCAGTCAGTCCCCTCCTGTCTGTCCATACAACTGTCCCTCAAGTCTCAGCTCATATCCCTTTACTCTTAGGAAATTGTGTGGATTCCCAACTGTTTTCCCTGCCTTTGATATCTCCATTCTACAATCCATTATGTTTACCCTTACTAGAGCAACTTTACTAAAAACTGCTGTAATCCAGTCCCTCCCACTTAAGAGCTTTCACTGGCTTCCTACTGTCCACCCAACTGCATGGCCCTATACTTGACACCTTTCACAATTTGGCCAAACTTACCCTTTGAGCCTACCCACAAATCCTAAGACATATTGATTATAGATTTTTATTCTTCATTGCTCCTGTCAAACCGTCTTCATCCTTCAAGACCTGGTTCAGATGTTACCTTTTTCAACCTGCTCCACTTTTTGATTACCCCAGCAGAAATGATACTACCAATCTTTGCATACCTATAATACTATTTAATCACTCACGTGGAGCTTAACATGAAATTGTGTATATATGAGTGTTTATATGTATGTATGCATGTGTTTGTGTTATTGTTGTGAGTTTCTTTAGGACAGAAAAATATTTTATAATACTTCACACCACACAGTCTAGAGATTGCATATCACAGTTGGTTCTCAGCAAATAATGATTGAATTGAATTAAATGAGATTGAGAACTACCATCTGAAAGAAGACCTTCTCAATCAAAAACCTTTGGTAAGTGTGCTGAGGAAAGTTAACTTTCAGACTCTAAGTTAAAAATGCATATTTCCCCTCATGATATAGGTGGATCCCAATATTGTTCTACATGCCTCGGTTTCCATTGGAAAGCGGAGTTCCTCAAGTAGTGAAGTGAGCAGCAGAAGTCAGATAGCGTCATCGACCCTGTGGCCTGCAGCCAGTGTGTGGCTGATCATGAAGGTACCCAAGAGTGTCTCCTCTTGGCAGAGTGACTTCCCCTTGCTTGATGGCTCTCAGTGCTGCCCTGGCACCTGGTACCCTCACTGCACACGGGCATGCAAATGAAAGCGTGATAAATTATTGACTGTTAAGAAAGGTACTTCACTGCTCTTGATATTGTCTAGCCCAGAGGACTTCTGTAGATTCCCAAATGAGAATTCAGTTCACTTTCAGACTTGCTGATGAGTTCATACCCCAGAGTGTATTTAAGTCAAGCATAGAGCTTATTTATAGTCCATAGCCTCACCATTTTTGTAGGATTTGTCTGAATGTCATTTATTTCCACTTCTTTGTCTTTGTTGTTGAGCTTCACCACCTCACCTTCACGTTAGCACCATATAATGATTTCGCATACTGTCTTTGTAATGACACAGTATTAAACAAAACCCGAGTATAAAACGTGAACAGTGCCTAACACATTACGTATCTGTGTATTGGCAATATTTATTTATTTATTTTTTACTTTATTACTATACTGTTGGCTCTGATTTAAATGGAAAACATTTAATTGCCCTCCTCTTCCCTCTTACTGGAGCCCTGGTGGTGCAGTGATTAAGAACCATGAGTGCAAAATTACCCAGTCAAGTTTGCTACTACTTAGTTTGTGGGGGGTGGTTTGAAACTGTTTCTCAAATGAAATTTTGAATTGCCCTTATTATAATAATAACTGCCGTATTATTTTTTATTCTCTGTGAGTTAAAAGAATACAAATTAAGATACAAAGGTATTAAGAGATATTATTCTTACCAAGACTGAATGAGGTTAGATGAGCTGTTATTTAAGTCTGCTTCCAATCAGGAGACTCTATTAATTACTAAGCTTTATTAAGTTATGTTTTGTTTTTGATTTAATAATAATAAAATCTTCCATTTCATTGAACACCTATTATGTGTTAGGCATTATATTAGGTTCCTTATCCACATTATGGTCTCATTTAATTTTTAGAAACTTTTCAAGTTTGGTTTTATCATCTGCCATTATACAGCTAAAGAAACTGAGGTTAATAAGTGGCAGAGGGAGGGTTCTTGGTCTGTCTGACTTCAAAACTTATGCCTTTTCACCATAATATAAAACATTGTTTTCTATTTGAACAATCTATGAGTATGATGGAAGTGTTTTAGTCTTAGCACTGCCACTGAATAGCTGTGTGACATCAAGCAAGTCACTCACTGTGTCTGCGTCTTTGTTTTCTTATCTGAAAAGAGTTGGGCCACTTGATATTGAAGGATGTTTCCTAGATCTCTATTCTGTGATTCCATGGCATCTGTTTCTGGAATTTCATCAGAAAACCTGTAGTGTCTGAAATTTCCTCAGAAATAATTGAAACGCTTAATGATAGGAGTATGGGATTTGGAGTTAGATAGATTGGGATTAGAATCCCAGCTTGTCTTATGTGACCTTGGGAAAGGCACTTAGCTTTACTGAGTCACCGTTTCCTCATTTATAAAATGGAGTTAGTCATACCTGCCTGGCACAGTTCTTGTGGAGACCAAATGAGAAAGCATGTATGAAATTTGAGTGTAGAGTATGTGGTACACAGAAAGTACTTAATAAATGATGGTTCTCTTTCCTCATCCCAAGTGGTTCCCTTTTCTCTATAGAAAGCATTAGAAAGCACGTTCAAACAAGGATTCTATTCAGTGCTTGTTAGAACCAAAATTCTTTAAAAATACTTTTCCTAAGTCATCATATGTTCGTTTTCCACACAACAAAACCATGAGGAATAAAAGTTACATGCTGAAAACAATTTTTAAAATCCTTTTGGATTGAACTCTCTTCCTCTTTTCAAAATAAACCTTTTTACCTATTTAGATAGAGAATTTTGCATATCATAAACCCCCAATGCATGTAAATAAATTCCTTGGTGGTTGCCACATATCTAAAATGTTATGTTTGATTCACTAAATAAGAAACTTGTTAAGTGGCCACTGAAACAATATTCCTAATCAATTTCCTTAGCAGAGAATCCTAACATTTAAAACAAAAGCAGTTCATAAACCACCTTAAAATGTTACACCAATGGTATTTAGACCCAGAGTAAAACTTTAAATTGATACAAAGGTTTTGGATTCGTTTCAATCTTTTCAGTTTATCAGTTCACTGCACTTTTTTTCCTGTGCATATTTCAAGTAAGCTCTGTAGTTATAACTATACCAAGTGACACGTGATAGACCCCAAATCACTGCACTGTGAAATATGCACAGAAAAAAAGGACAAATGAAGATATCAAGGTCTGTTTTATTTTTCGCTGAACTGTAAAATGCCACCCTTGTTGGACAGAAGATGACTGGTTCTGAGCAAGGCTCACTGACTGCTAAGTTGTGGGTAGTGTTTCACTTTTGGCAACTGTTAATATCTGGGGTTATCCAGGCATAATGACCTCACTATTTGTGACACATTGTTGAATTTTCTGGTTCTTTTAACTTACTTAGACCTTTCTCCCCCCTCTCTCTTCATTGGAAGACTGGAATGATCCTGAGTCGAGCTATAACTCAAGGCTGCCTGGCTATTGGTCATCCAATCAGAGTCAAGGCCGCTGAAGGAGCATCACAAGAAGGATATAAAGTAATCCTACAGAAAAGGTAATGCTTATGAGCCATTTAGCTCGAGACGGTAAATGTTAATTCCAAGATTTCTGAGCAATCAAATCATGATACTTCTTGGCTCGGATTAAATATTTATTAGACATTTAAATTTGTGTTCATAATATCAGTAGTAATTTTTTTTAACCTAAAATGATCTTGAAAATGTATGCCACTTAGTTTAGTAGCATTTCTTAAATATTCTTAAAAGTGAAATGTTGGCTTCAACATATACCTATGTGTAGACAGGGTGCTGCTTTACTCTATAACAACTCATTCCTTTATTTCAGCTTTGATTGTTAATTTTTTTAGTTTTATGTGTTTTCCTAACTTTTTCTCTGTCTTCTGGATATGAAATATTGAAGCATGAAAGAAAAATCAAGGAGACCAAAACAAAACAAAACAAAACAAAACAAAACAAAAAACTGGCTTTCAGGGGATCTTAAGTGTCCTTCCTGTCTGTTTTTTCTGACTTGGGAAGATACAATTAAAAAATAGATTATTTTTCAATTTAGCAGTGAAGAGTAATGGTGACTTATCTCTAACAGTCTGCTAATATTGTTTCATAGAGGCTTTCTTATTCTTGCTCATTTGCCTTTCGATTTCAATGAGGGTTGACAAAAAAGAGTCTTCTATACTTCAGGACTTAGAAAGCCATTGCCCAGCTACTTCTGGCTGCATGGGCAGTTAGGGTGTACTTAACAGCTGAAACCAGAACTACCTCCTGGAAAAGGGCACTTAGACACCAGAGAAACTGACCTAGCCAAAAATGCAGAAGGAAAATTTGCTATGAAAGTTAAAGCAGACTGTATAACATGCATAGGAATATGCATACTGATTAAGAATGTGGGCTACAGAGTCAAATTCGCACATGCAAATCCTGGCCATACCCCTTACTCTAACAAAATTTGAAATTAAAAAATACCATTTACAATGGCATCAAAAGTATGAAATAGTTAGGGATAAGCCTAACAAAATATGTTCAAGACCTGTTCACTGAAAACTACAAAACATTGCTAAGGGAAATTAAAGAAGACCTAAATAAATGCAAGCATGTGCCATGTTAATGGATTGGAAGACTCTTTATTAGTATGAAGTACATTCTTTCCAAATTGATCTAAAAATTTAATGCAGTCTCAATTAAAAGCCCAGCAGGTGTTTTTTGTCAGAATTGTCAATCTGATTTTAAAATTAATATACAAATGCAAAGGACCTAGAATAGACAAAACAACTTTGAAAATAAAGAAAAAAAGTTGGAGGACATATTTTATCTAAACTCAAAGTTTATTATAAAGCTACAATAATAAAGACAATATGGTATGGGCATTAAAGTAGACAACTAGATCAATGGAACAGAAATAGGATCACACATATATATATGCTAATTGTTTTTTTACAAGGTATAAAGGAAATTCAGTGGAGAAAGGATATTCTTTTTGACAATAGGATACTCATATGTAAAAATGAACTTTAATTTATACCACACATCACATACAAAAATTAACTCAAAATGGATCATAGACCTATATGTCAAACCTAAAATTATAAATATTTTAGATGAAAACCTAAGAGAAAATCTTTCTGATCTTGGATTAGGCAAAGATTTCTTACATATGACACCAAAGTATGATCCATAAAAAAGTAAATTTATAAATTGAACTTCATCAAAATGAAGAACTTCTGCTCTTAAAATATGCTGTTAAGAGGCTAAAAAGATAAACCAGATTTAGATAGATTCTTTACCAAAGAATATGTATAGTTGGCACATGCTTAGGGTAATGGAAAATAAACCCACAATGAGCTATCACTACATATCTATTAAAAAGTTTAATGTTTAAAAGCCACCACCTATTTCTTGGTTTGTTGTATGGTGGTGATTGCATGTTGCTATGATACTGGAAGCTATGCCATCATGATTTCAAATACTAGCAGGGTCATTCATGGTGAGAGGTTTCAGCAGAGTTTCCATACTAAGACAGACTAGGAAAAAAGCGCTGGCAGCGCACTTCTGAAAATGGTCAATGAAAAACCCTATGGATCACAGCAGAATATTGTTCAATATGTTGTTGGACGATGAGTCCCCTAGGTTGAAAGGCACTCAAAATACACAGTGTCTGCAACAATGGACTTAACAATACCAATGATTGTGAAGATGGCACAGGACTGGGCAACGTTTTGTTCTGTTGTAATGGAGATGCCACGAGTCGGAGCCAACTCAATGACAACTAACAATGACAATAATGTTTAATAAAAGATTGACCATACCAAGGTTGGTGAGGACGTGTAGCAACTGGAACACTCATATACAATTAGTGGAAATGTAAAATGATACAGCCACTTTGGAAAACAGTTTGGTACTTTCCTAAAATGTTAAAGATACATGTACCTTATGACCCAGCCATTCCACTCCCAAAAATTTATCCAAGAGATATTAAATGCCCATACAAAGATTTGTGCATGAATGTTCATAGCTTTATTTGTAAACCCCCCCCCCAAAAAAAAAAAACCTGGAAACAACTCACATGTCTATTAATAAGTGAATAAATAAGCAAGTTGTAGTACATCCATACAATGGAATACTACTCAGCAATAAGAAGAAATAAAGTCTTGATACATGCAACGATATGGATGCACCTCAACATAATTATGCTGAGTAAAAGAAACCAAAAAAAGAGTACATGTTTTTTAAATTCCACTTATATAAAATTTTAGACAATGCTAATTACTACCTAGAAATAGAAAGCAGATCAGTGGGGGGGCCTGGAGGATAAGAAAGTGGGGAGGGGAGGGGGGATTATAAAGGGGAATGAGAAAACTTTAGGGATGATTATTGGGGATAATGGATATGTTCATTGTCCTAATTGTGATGCTTTAACAGGTGTATAATATTTCAAAATTTATTAAATTTTACACTTTAAATATGTTCAGTTTGTTGTATGTCAGTTTTACCTCAATAAATCTGTTTTTAAAAATCCTAAAAAGCAAGCTAAGAAACAAACCAAAAATCAAAATGATGATTAGAGAGTGACTAAGTGGTGACTTTAATGGGTGATGGTCAGGAAAGGATTCTCTCAGTGGGAAGGTTGATCAGTGGCCTAGTCAAAATGGCAGGGGTTTGGAAAAGTTAGAGCTAGGCGGGCGTGGAAACGGAAACTAGTGCAACATCTCATCTGCTGACCTGGCCTGAGCCCACTGAGGTTTACTGCCTACCCTGGCCAGGATTATCTAGGAATTAGATAGGACTGAAGCTGCAGACCCAAAGTCCTTGTTGCCTAAAGAGGAGAGATCTTGGGCAAGGAAGGAGATGATAATTAAACAATCAAAAAACAACAACAAACTGTAGTAAGTTTGACTTTAAAAGTCTCTACTTACAAGAAAGTTTTTTATTTAATCTGGAAAGGAAGAGATGGAATCAAGGAGAAAGGAGAGTGGGTCTTCATGCAAGAAAAAGATTGTTTGCCTTTTTATTAATGCAATTTGCCTTCTTTTGAAAAAAAAAATCTACTGCATGGTGGAAGGAAAGTAGCAGAAAATTTGGAAGACTAGAGGTCTCCTTTACTGTGAAACTACAGTTCCATTTTTGGATAGCAGCAATGACCGAGTTTCTTAGAGCTCACTTCACCTCTGGCTGTATAATTTCAAATATGTTTATCTTTGTCAAAGCATGTGAAGTACCTATGTGGCTTTTTCTTTTTTTTAACACAACTGTATTTTATTACAAATGACAATAAATATTCTTACATGACAGCAACTTCTAAAGACAGAATTTTTCCCTCTTCTCCTAAGTAGTATAACATGATTTTAACAAATGCTATGAATTGAGACATATAATGCTTTTTATAATGCTAAAAATAATAGACCTAGCACTTAAAGTAGCAACCTGACAACTCACAAATTATACTGTAAACATATCATGCCTCATTAGTTCAGTTACTCATATTTTTCTTATTCAATATAGCAAGTGCTTGCACATATTTGTCTTTTTAATATTTTCTCTGGTCATGACTGGGTAAAAGGCAAACCAACAATATCATTACCAAGTGAACCAAACTTCCTCAAAAATCACACACACACACAAAAAAACCCAGATGCTTCTTGCCAAAAGATATTTGGGACATCTTCTTATAGATAAAACAATTAGATGTGTTGGATCTGGCGTTTAGTGTGAAACTGAAACTAATTTCACACACGCTCACACACACACACGCACACACGGAGGTTAGATTGTAGAGGTTAAAAGTGTTGACCCACAGATTTTGTTTGCACATAATTACAATTTTTAAAAACTAGTTGCGAGCCTATTGCAATAGGGAGCTTTCACACAAAATAATTACAGATTTCTGGCTTTTCTTGAAAAAAATCAGAAGAATAGACAACACTGGACCTGCATTCTGTCATGACACCAACCAGGCAGGAGCTGAGTGGCAGTCTTTCCCTGTGGCAGCCCTCACACATAGCTCTAGCCTGCTTCATTCATTTCCATGACCTGTTAGGCTCCTAACCAAAAAACCAAACCTGTTGCCATCGAGTTGATTCTGACTCATAGCAGCGCTATAGGACAGAGTAGAACTGCCCCATAGGGTTTCCAAGGAGCAGCTGGTGAATTCGAGCTGCCGACCTTTTGGTTAGCAGCTGTAGCTCTTAACCACTGTGCCACCAGGGCTCCGTCAGGCACTTTAATTTGGAACCTCTATGTGTAGTATCCAGTCTGTCAGTTTGTCATACTGTGGTGGCTTGTGTGTTGTTGTGATGCTGAAAGCTATGCTACTGGTATTTCAAATACCAGCACAATCATCCGTGGTGGACAGATTACAGTCAAGCTTCCAGAGTAAGACAGACTAGGAAGAAAGAACTGGCGATCTACTTGTGAAAATTAGCTATTGAAAACCTTAGGGATCACATCAGTACATTGTCTGACTTGCTTGATTTGGACACATCATCGTGAGGGGTTAATTATTGGAGGAGGACCTCATGTTTGGTGAAGTAGAGGGCCAGCAAGG